GCTAAGGCAAACGCAATCCGGGGCCAAGGCTGCTGCGTTGGGCTCGGTGCCTCCTAATTTCTGCAGATTCTAAGGCCAAAAAATAAAACCTCTGCAAGTCCGCGTAGCTTCGAGGACTCCTGGGACATTTTACTAAAATAAAGAGTTATCGAGTTTAAAAAGCAGTGACGCCGTTATGACACACACTGAAAGTTGCATAACTGTGGCCTTGAGGGCCACTGACTTGTTTGGACTGAGTGATGGTCACAGTTTCACGACACAGCAACAGACACCACACACAGGCACACGTATGTCAGCAAGCACGTGGGAAGCTGTGGCCGAACCGGGCCGGTGGCGTGGGCCTGACCACGGCCTGTCCGGGTCCCCATGCTTCCTCAGGGGGTGGGCATGACAGGCAGGTCGCTGGTGACAAGGCGGTGGACATCACTTGGGGAAGGATGGCAGGAGAGGGCTGGACAGGGCCCCGCTGCCCACCGCCTGGCGCATGCAAACACACTTAAAGCACTTCTCGGACGCTTCTCAGAGAATCAAGATGAAGCGCTCGTTTCCTTCCCCAGGAAGGCGCCAAGTCTTCCTCCCACCCCACTCTCTCCAGAGCCCCCTGGGACCCTCAGGCTGTTCTGTGTGGGTGCTAAGGAGCGGTGTCTCCGACCCCCAGAGCCTTCCCTGCCCAGGATCCCACGGCATGCCCGGCAGGGGGTGGGCGTGTGAGGTAGATTGGCACAGCTGCCCCCACACCCTGCCTGGCTGGGCCCCAGACATCTGGGGGTCTCCAAGTCAGCATGGGATGCTGGGGGCCTAGGTCCCTTCACCAGAACAGAAGCTCCCCACCCCCTCTCCCATTTCAGTAGATGGAAGAGGCAGAGGCGGAGGAAAAGCCCCTGGGGAGCGGTCCCCTCGTGCCTCCAATAAGCCCCTTGGGTCCCACTCTGTGGGGGCAGCCCTGATTCTATCTCTTCTGCTGTCTCCCAGTCTGGGAAGGGGCTGGCCGGGGGCCCCAGGGGCGGTGCGGCCTGCTGGAGGAGAGCAGGGGTTCCCAGGCCGGGGGAACGGGGATGGTGGAGGGCAGGCACATGGGGCCGGGAGGGACCCAGGGCCAGGAGCTGGGCCAGGGGCAGTGCTGGAGCAGGTAGCGGGGCAGTCAGGGGTGCAAGACAGCCCAGGGATTGCCAGGGAGGGCCGGGCCAGGCAGGGAGCCGGTGTCGCGGCCTCGCAAAGAGCAGAAGGGAGAGGGGAGGGGCCGGGCCATCTCCGTGAGACCCCTGAACTTGCTCCATTCACAGACATTTTTAGATTTTTAGTAGTGGTCCCATCAGACAGAGGCAAGGATTCAGGCTCAGCCTCCCATACGCCACCCTCGCCCACCGCGCTGGGGCCAGAGCAGGGCGGTCGGTGCAGCCCCCGCTACTTAAACGTGGACTGCAGCTCCTTGAAGGCCGCTTTCCGCTGCTTCATCTCCTCCGCCTGCTTCTTCCGTTCCTCCTGCTCCGCCTTGATCTCCTCCTCGAAGCGGCTGGACACGTTGATGGCCTGGACCTGTGGGGGCATGAGGGTGAGGGGTCAGGGCTAGATGGTATATGTTGGGGGGGTCTCCATGCTACAGCTGCTTTTCCTTTTTTAATTTTTTTGAGACGGAGTCTCGCTTTGTCGCCCAGGCTGGAGTGCAACGGCGTAACCTCGGCTCACTGCAACCTCCACCTTCCAGGTTCAAGTGATTCTCCTGCCTCAGCCTCTTGAGTAGCTGGGTTTATAGGCGCACTCCACCATGCCCGGCTAATTTTTGTATTTTTAGTAGAGATGGGGTTTCACCATGTTGGCCATCTGGCTGGTCTTGAACTCCTGACCTCAGGTGATCCACCCACCTCAGCCTCCCAAAGTGCTGGGATTACAGGCGTGCGCCACTGTGCCCAGACTTATGGCTGCTTTTCCTGGGGCTTCTGCTGAGTCCTACCCAGCAACACAAACAGCTTGACCGCACCAGCTCTGGCCCTGGGCCAGGCGCTTCATTCTCCTTCCTCAGCCTCAGTTTCCTCACTAGAACCTGGCACCCAATAACTCTGATCTTATGGAGTTGTCGAGAGGATTGAAAGAGAGAATGTATATTCTGTGGCTGCTGCAGAGCAAGGGTGCTCGAAGGGCGTCACTTAAGCCGCTGCCATCCTGATCCTCTGCTTCCTGTCCGGGGAGCCCAGTGGCCCACCCAGTGCCACTGATGAACCCTGAAAAGTTCCACCGATGCTCGGAAGCCCAGAGGGAGGTGGGAGGCAGTCTCTGGAAGGAATGTCCTTGGCTTAGCAAGGAAAGAGAGAAACAAGGCGGGAGAGCTGGAGCCCTGGGTGGGCAGGACCCAGGAGCCACCAAACCACAGGTGTCCCTTCCATCTGAGAACTTGCTGAAAGGGGAGGGTATTGTGCATGCAGGTGGTCTCTGAGCCCCCAGGCTTCCTCCCAGGTTGGAGCTGGTAGGGCAGGTGTCTGCCGGGGACCCTGGAGAACCAGTGCTGTGTTCTCCTGGGCCCTTCCCTCCTAAGGCCCAGTCCTCTGGGTTAGCCGCTCAGTGTGCCAGGACCGGGGCACCTCAAGGTAGTCCCTGTCCCATTTTGAAGAGTACATGTCCTTCACCCATCCTCTGGTGGCTGCCAAGGATCTCAGCCAGGAGTGGGAGGGGACAGAAGACAGAGCGTGTGGGCCTGGCCCAGCCTGGCGGGGAGTCAGCTCCCATCTCTGCAGCCTCAGCAGGGATGGGAAGGGGACGTATTAACTTCGGGCCGACCTAGGGTCCCCTCGTCCTGGAGCGTGGGTCAGGGCACCCCTCGGGCTCCTCACCTTGGCCTCAAAGAAGCTCTTGGCTCCCTTGACACCCTCACTGGAGACGTCGATCTCGGAGAGGCGGGCCAGCACGCACAGCCCGCTGTCCTCCTGAAGCTCCCCGGCCGCTGCCTTGCGGAAGATCAGGAGGAACTGCAGTGGGAAGAGAGACGCGCGCGGTGTCAGGAAGGGAGGGAGGGAGGGAGGGGAGCCGGAGTCCCTGGCCACACCCAGGCCCCAGCCTCAGGCCTCCCCTGCAGAGAAGGACTCAGGGGCAGTGAGCTGGGTCTTGCCCCTTGGTGCTCCTGTGCTCCCCCTCACTGGGCCTCTGCCCATCTGTACGATGGATGGTGACTCATGTACCCACCCAGGATGCTGGGCTTCTGCAGCCCTGCCCCGCCCACGCCAGCTCCCGACGACACGGCCTCAGCCTACCTCTTACCTCTGTCTCCCACTGTTCCCCTGTGAACCTACTCTGTGTTCCATGTATTGAGTCCTGAAGGTGTCATGACAGATAAGGGAGCCTCCCAGACAGTAAAACACATGCCCAAAGTCTCAGCGCCTAAAAGTATCGGAGGGATTCGAACCCTGCTCTCTAACTTCTAAGCTGTTACCCTGCAC